CTACAGACCCAGACAACTACAGACCCAGACAACTACAGACCCAGACAACTACAGACCCAGACCACTACAGACCCAGACAACTACAGACCCAGACAACTACAGACCCAGACCACTACAGACCCAGACCACTACAGACCCAGAATACTGCAGTTTGACCCAGGGCTCCTCCATAATCTTGCGCTGGTGGTGCAGGAAGCTGCGCTCGCGTGCGTTCCTCATCCTGTCGTTCTCAGGGCGCTCAAAGCGCACTGTGACGGCGCGCGTGGCGTCTTCGGATCGCGTGCCTGCCAATTTCAAATAATTACAAACAAAACATAACACAGGCAAGAAATTTAAGCTTGAAATTTAAAAGTGAAGAAAACACCACAAAAATTCAGCATATCTCTATTGAAAACGTTTTGGAGACCAGCTCCATTGTCAGTTCAATAAATCTAGAACACAAATAAAGTCAGGTGTTTTCTTTGCTTTTAAATTTCTAGTGAATCTGCGATTAAAGCAATCTAGTGATATTATTAAATTTAAGCTTGAGGTAACTGCTGCTAACATACCTACAAACACAGGTAATGTAATAAACTTCACAAGCGTTAATAAAATCACACCTAACTAAACCTTCAGTAAGAACATAAACATAAAAAAGAAAAGTACTTCCAAAAGCTCGAACAAACTCCTAAAATCAGTCAGTGTAAATGCTTTTGCAGAAGCAATACCAACTTGTAGCAATTTGAGCAACCTGATAGTTCTTGTGTGCTCATCAAACAATAATGACATTTGGACCATAACTCAAGGATACAAAATTCATAAAGAAACTCTGGTGATGTGGGTCATTCCATTGTGAGAGTTCCAAATAATACTGAATTGCTGTTACATCATTCTAATATTAGGATAAGCCGAAAAACGAGAATGTTTTCATTGCTCTATCATTTCCATTACTAGAATACCAGAATTTTTCCTTACTCTATCATTTCCATTACTATACTAGAATTTTTGCATTACTCTAACATTTTATTAGTAGAATATATTGAATAAAAGAATGTTTATATGGACAAGACGAGACCTTCTTCAGCTTCCTCCTCAGCTTTCTTCTCCTTCTTGACCCTGGAGTCTGCTTGGTCCAGGTAGTCGAGGGCTGACCGCAGTGGCAGCATGGCACTCAGCGGGGCCAGCACCAGGCCCAGACCAGGGATCAGCTCCCCAACACAGTAGCGGTCAATGTCCTCCACTGAGCCTTCAGACCTCAGTACAGACTTGTCCATCAGCCCACTGAGGATTCAATTATAAGACAATAGCGGTCAATGTCCTCCACTGAGCCTTCAGACCTCAGCACAGCCCACTGAGGATTCAATTATAAGACAATAGTGGTCAATGTCCTCCACTGAGCCTTCAGACCTCAGCACAGACTTGTCCATCAGCCCACTGAAGAGTAAATTATAAGAGGCCGGTTATGTACAGCACGGACTTGTCCATCAGCCCACTGAGGATTCAATTATAAGACAATAGCGGTCAATGTCCTCCACTGAGCCTTCAGACCTCAGCACAGACTTGCCCATCAGCCCACTGAGGAGTCAATTTTAAGACAATAGCGGTCAATGTCCTCCATTGAGCCTTCAGAGTTCAGACCTCAGCACAGACTTGTCCATCAGCCCACTGAGGAGTCCATAATAATTAGCAGGTTATATTATTCGGTGTCTCAAGGCAATTTCAAAGAACACCAAAATTAAATGTTTATTTATCAACTATAAAATTGCATCTCTGCAAATAGGACTCTGGCCTAGCAGCATGACAACACAGAGCTGTTTTACTGTGGTTACAAGGGGCTTGCTTCACATGACCCATTTTATATAGGTAGGCATTTTATGGCATCAAGAACATCAACTTCATGGATTATGGTTTTACACTACACAAGAAGTTAGCACAAAGAAATAAAAAAAAATAATAAACAGTATTTATCAAATTAAAGCTGTATCTTGATTTACAAATGAAAGTTTTTTAAATAATTAAAAGAAATAACTTTAATTATAACATTCAGACCTTGGAAAAGAGTTATCGCTATCATCTCGGTGGTTTCTGTGAACTCCATCAACATTGAGGGCAAGCTGCTGTCCCATACTGGAGTTGTATACTTGGTTGTTCTCAATCATTTGCTCCAGCTCAAGCTGGTGGCATGAGGGGCGCAACTTTGCCTGTGAAAAAAAAAAATTATAATACACATAAAAAGGAAAGACAATTTTGTTCTGATATTTTTTCATCACTTACATATGCTTATCTCACAAAGTAATGTTAGGAACTTTATATTATTATTTTCTGTCAGTGTCTAATAGCATATACCTATGCAATTACTTTTAAAGATGAATTTAAATGATGTAAAAATGCCAACACCAAAAGTGATCTTATCAGTAGAACCTAAGATAGGTAACTATTCCACTCACACTAGTGATGAAGCCGTCCATATTCCAGGTACTTTCCACCTGCGTTGGATGCTGTAGTAAATATAGCGCACCATCTTCAGGTTTGGAATGGTAGACTGGTATCTGCAGGCCAAATTGAGAATAGTATTAAAGAAATATAAGCCTTGTGTAACTATAAGAAGCAAGGCACATGGCACTGCCAGAAGCCTGTGATGACCACACGGGGCCCCTGGGAAGGGATTCTTGTTCTCTTCAATTTGTTACTTGTGTGAAATTTCCTCAATCCTGATCGTTGTCGAGATAAAAGAGCTTGAAAATGCCAATAATCTCAGATTCCGACCCGGAGTACGTAAAAAGTTGACCAAAATCGACAAAACTTTTGCTCATAACTTGCTCTCACTGCACTGAGCTGACTGGTAGAAGGGAGCTTGTATGTGCTATTCAGTGCACTAAATGAACCAAAAGGCACTGCCATTCAGCATTGCCAGGTTTGATCTTTTTGTAGGTTAAATACTAATTAATAAGTGACCATATATGGCTACTACTAAATCACCATATATGGTCACTTAGTATCAACACTATATCTTCCAAAAAAACCACAGCCCCTAGTTGTGTTTGAGGTAATGTTATCAATTATCATGCCTCCACCAATCACCAAACATCTGACCATCATTTTGTACATAGCAACACACTCTACCAAAGCCCAAAATGAAAATATGAGCATTTGAATGAAAGTTTTAACTTTGGCAATAAAATTGTCTTTCTTCTGGCTAGAGGCTCTTTCCACATTTATAGAATTGGAAGTAACTACCAGTATATCTCTTCACTTAATTACTATAACTTGAGAAAATCGAATTGAAGATACGTTTTATGCATATTTTTATGCTTGCACAAATGAATGATAATTTTTTTTAGTTAACAGACAAATGTGAGCAATAATTCACCCAAGTTTGTGTGTTTGGCACAGCAAATATATGTGTAGAGGCCATTTGGGTACATATCCAGAATATTTTTGTGTCATGATATAACATGGACCTGATAATACAGTTTTTATGAGAGATTACTGTGAAACAAGGTAATAAGGGAACATATTGAAAGTTTTTTGTTAATAACTTCTTACTATGAAACATTTTGTAAATGAGTATGGGCTCATTTTAGGAGAGTGTCTGGGTCCCAGAAAAACTTTTTTATTTACGAACATATCACATTGAAACTCGGTACATATGTGAATAACAGAAATCAAATACTTTTTTGTTCTGTAAATTTTTCAAAAAAATTAAAGAAAACATGAAATTCTTAGAAAATGGCCATGCAAGGAGGTCCTAGAGAAATCTATCTCCTCCTAGAATTTTCAAGCTACACAGTCAGTCCCGATATACCTCCACCCTTTCCTTATCACCCCATTTGACAGTATTTGTGGTCATATTATGGCAGACAGCTTTGGGGCCTTGGCAGTAGTCATAAATTTTTATTTGAAAAAATTGTGGTTTGTACTTTGCAAACATGTCGTTTAATAAAATTTTCAACTTCCGCAATCCACAGCATATATACTTCAATGCTCCTGCCTCCCACAAAAATAACATGCAAAACATAATAACAAGTAAACTCAAAACATTTCCTCCATGAAGATTGCGTAGTTGCAGTTATGTCAGAATGGTCATCAGGTCATACTGCATTATCACTTGTACAGAACTTGCTGCTAAGAATAAAGCTGCTTAAGTGAAGACAAATGCTAGTGACTGTTCTTTGTATGGGACTTTGTAAAATAACATGGGTCCATGTATGCATGGGAGTGATGGGACTTTGTGAATAACAAGTTTGTGGGTCATAAATGGCTTTTTCTGGCCGAGATATGGAATTTAAGGCTTAAAGAAATGGAATCACAGTTAGCAAACCCATGAAGCCAAGGCTCAAAGAAATGGAAACAAGGCTGGTAAACCCATGAAGCCATGGCTCGAAAAATCTAGTTGCGGCTTGCCAATAAGCCAAGTGGCAAGTAGATATATTCCATGCCTGTAAATAACGATGGTATACGTACATTGCCTTATGAGGGCATTGTAAAGATACAATTGCCTCACTGCATAGGGCTATGCAGGCATAGCCATGCTCCCACACATACCTAATGCACTCATGTTAAAATTATTTTTTTGCCAACAATTCTGGAATTTTTCTTTACATCTAAATTTTTTTAGAATTCTGCCAAATATTCCAGATTGGATGTGGTAAGTTATTTTAGCAAAATACTATCATCATTGAAATAATTTAATATTGACACCTGCTTGAAAAATCAATTAGATCTATCCATAACTGCAATAAAACCAATATAATCCTGGTTAACTTCATGATCATTAATTATGAATTTTTCCCATAGGTTCACATATATGAATTGTGTGTAAATTTTATGAGAGATTATGAATTCATAGAATTCATCCACCCTAGAATTTCATCGATAATTTTTCTTATAGGCTAGCCGCTAGAGCCTAGGTTGAAATTTGAATAGTTCATAGTCATAGTGGCAAACCAGAGCTTTTTTAGAATCAGTTAATTTTTAATTTCCTCATTTACTCAAGAATTAAACCAATTTCTTATGTATGATAATGCTGGTAGAGTGGTATCCAGGATACTTTATTTGTCTACTTATAGGACTCAAAAGTGAACTTGAGGGAGAGTCTAAAAAACTCTCTGCTTTGCCACTATGGTTCATACCTATATATCCTATACCTATAGGTATATATGTGAATTTGTGAAAATACAAGAATACAAATAATAACAAACTTGATTTGCTAGTTTAAAATATCAATCTATTGCATGTTGCACTATATACACACATTAATCTGAGTGGAAAGTTCCTGGCCTTTCCAAGCTTTCAGGTCCTGCTTTCCAATATGCTATGTGTACTGGTTAATTTAATATCCCTCTAGAATTCCACACTGATTTCATAGAATTCATCCACCCTAGAATTTCATTGATAATTTTTCTTATAGGCTAGAGAGTAGAGCCTAGGTTGAACCGTTGAATAGTTCATATACCTAGGTATATCCTATACCTTAACGGCCATAGTGGCAAACCACAGCTTTTTTAGAATCAGTTCATTTTCAATTTCCTCATTTACCCAAGATTTAAACCAATTTCTTAAGTATGATGATGCTAGTATCCAGATTCCAGGATACTTTACTGGTCTACTTATAGGACTCAAAAATGAACTTGAGGGAGAGTCTAAAAAACTCTCTGCTTTGCCACTATGCCTTAACCTATATAGGTATACATGTGAAAATACAAGAATACAAATAATAACAAACTTGATTTGCTAGTTTAAAATATCAATCTATTGCATGTCGCACTATATACACACATTAATCTGAAATCTGAATATAAAAACCTGTAAAATTCAGCATTGACAAACCACTTAGCCTACCACTTACCACTTTCAGCAAACTGTCATCACTTGGTTCAGATTTCATTTTGGTTTACTTAGACAGTTGCTTTAAAACTAATTAACGATTATGAATAAAAGAACGTAGATACAATAACTAAATTACCTACTACGTCAGAGCCTACTCAGCTTTAACCTCATGCAATACAATATGAATATCATCTGTATTCTGTAGTGTAGAGACCAGGGTGGAATTCTAGAAATGGAAGTTCACTTATGAAAAAGCTTTCCACCAAAGGTGGAATGCTTTCCTTAGATACAGTGCTCTGCCAAGTGCCAGGTGACTGACTATAAATGAAAAGGAGAATCAAAAGTGGACAAACTGTTTCAATTGTACAGTACCTCAGATTTGTTTAAAATTGTTTGATAGATATTTTCTATTTTTCTTTTATTTAATGGATTTTTTTAAAATTATCCAGGCTTTTTGTTTGTAATGATCAAGTTTAAGTTGAGTATTTAGTTAACCAGTACTGTAGACATATACCATATTGGGGGCGGGGCTTATGGGCACAACCAATCACAGCTTGAAAGCATCTCCATCAAACAATCACAGCTTGAAAGCATACCCCATCAACCAATCACAGCTAGAAAGCAGATAACATTACAATTCCATTAACCAATCACAGCTGGAAAGCCTCCCCATCAACCAATCACAGCTAGAAAGCAGATAACATTACAATTCCATTAACAAATCACAGCTGGAAAGCTGGAAGGGGCTAAAATCACAATCCCATCAACCAATCACAGCTGGAAAGTGATAGGTTATGTATATCATAGTATATGATATGAAATATGATGGACTGAAAGTGGAAAGTTCCTGGCCTTTCCAAGCTTTCAGGTCCTGCTTTCCAATATGCTATGTGTACTGGTTAATTTAATATCCCTCTAGAATTCCACACTGGTAGAGACAGTAGCAATAATAAAGTTTCTGAATGAGGGCGACGTGTATTTTGTAATACTAATAGTGGCACTTAACGAAATGAACTTTTTGATGTTTATAATGATCATTAACCACAAGTGATACAATTCTAGATAACCGAACACTGAAAGAAGTACCAGTCTCTTCTTCTTTTCAGGATGACCACGTTGGGTGGACTTAATTAACCCACGGGACAACCCCAAGGATGAGAAGGTACCAGTCTGCCGGATGAACTTGACCCGTTACCGACCTAGTCACCGCACTGGCGTTGACGAGCTAATTACCAATTATCGAATCATCGGAGTATGTCTTGAATAAGATCAAATAGGACGTTTTTATATGCGTTATAAGCTTAAAGCTGCCTCAATTTTAGCCTATTACTTCATATCATAAATTTTACAAAGCAAATGCTAATTTGCTTTATAATAACGGAATCATAACGGAAAATAAGTTTTCACTGAATGGACACTTCTCGATTCAGTGATTCAGTACCGGTCGATTCAGTGTAGTTTTCGCGAATTCACTTCAAAGTCTTCAAGCCTATTCCTTCATATTATAAATTTTATAAAGCAAATGCCAATAGTAAAAAAATAGGTACCTAGTATTCCCGAATGCAAACTACAAATCTTCGAATACTTTCTTTCAATGTTTTACTCGATTTTCTATTTGAGAACCGATTTTTGGAGACTTTTTGGGGCTGAAAGTGTCAACATGACACTAATTCCAAGTACAAAGGACGGAGAAATAATACGTACAAGAAAATAGCAGTTTATTTGTTTTTCATAGGTTTACGATTGGTTGATTGATTAATTTTTCGTGTATTTTTGCGGCAACTTCAACCTGGAAAATTGCATGCGCTAGTCGCAATAAAAACGTTGAAGTCGGAAAATCTTTTTTGAAAATGTTTTAAAGTGTCACAATATGACGTTTAATGCTAAGTAGAACAGTTAAGTAGAATGAAGAATGCATCCAACCAAATTTTAAAAAAATCTAGAAACGTTACTTTCACCGGTAGATGGCGCTGGAAGAGCAGTCATCTGTGATTCTGCCGCCATAGCTATTTTTGCATCTCTCTCTATTGTTTTTGAGGTTTATTTGTTCGCATTCATAGTTCGTAGGTTTTCACTTTAATCACCGTACACGTGGCATGAATGACTGGTCTATATTTATGTTCCGATACTCTGTTAGAATTTGTGTTGATTGTGCTTAAAAGTTAATTCATACGCATTTGTTTATTTGTAAATTCTAGTAGTAGCTATCCCATCATGTCATTGTCTACATCGGCCGTCGATTTAGAATATTCCAGTGAAGGTAAGTCTTCGGTTTTAGTCAAGTCATATTCGAAATTACTGTCTCGTCTTTTACACTTGATCGAATATAATTTTGTAGGCTGTCAAGTGTCAATATTCTTGCAGTTTGGTAGGTAGGTTGTAGGTATTCATGAATTTTAATTTCACTTTCAAATAAAAGCAAAAATGACCACTAAGTAGGTAGCAAATACTACTAAAGTACCAATACAAAAGTTGTCAAATAAACCACTACCCAACTCATTCACTCAATGCCCAGGATTGGAATTTTCCCCCTTAGCTATTATTGAAATCTTGTGGCTCCAAAGGGACAAATTTTCAATGCATTTGTAATCTTGCCAGCAGGCAGCAGTTGTGCACTTATCATGACTTATGTTAACAATTAGATTAGAGTTGATTCTTCTAGTGGGTAACATGCAATTCCAAAATGACCAGAAAGCTCCAGTGACTGGCCTGCAGCTGACCAAAAGGGTAGGTAGGCTACCATGCCTGCTCAGCAGCTATACTGCAATTAACTAGCCACTTGTAGTTGTGTCAACTGCCAAAGCACATAGCCTAGCCCTAGGTAGCTACTTTTTAAGGCTCTTCATGTTTGACACTTGACAGCATTTTGGCAATCCAGAGATTTTTTAGAATCAGTTCATTTTTAATTTCCCCATTTACTGAAGATTTTAACCAATTTCTTATGTATGATGATGCTGGTATCCATGATACTTTACTGGTCTACTTATAGGACTCAAAAATTAACTTGAGGGTGAATCTAAAAAACTCTCTGCATCTGCTTTGCCACTATGTTTGACAAATTGACAGTTTCCATGGTCAGGAAGATATGCCAGGTGCGCATAGTGGCAAACCAGAGCTTTTTCAGAATCAGTTCATTTTCAATTTCCTCATTTACTCAAGATTTAAACCAATTTCTTAAGTATGATAATGCTTGTATCCAGGATACTTTACTGGTCTACTAATAGAACTCAAAAGTGAACTTGAGAGAGAGTCTAAAAAACTCTCTGCTTTGCCACTATGCAGGTGCGTGGGAATTTATTTTGTCATTTTAATGACCTGCGTGGTGCGCCATACTATGCTGGTAAAAAAATGCGCCGTGCGCCGTCCTTTAGAAAGCTAAAATAGTTCTATTATTTTAGTCGACAATATACGCGAGTATATTGACTATGCGAGTCGAACTGACAATAATAAAATGCAAGACATGTCCGGGTTACTTCTGACTCTTCCGCTTGTCCGCCTTGTTGGGTACGGAACGTACGGTAATCGTAAACTGCGGCTATTATACATACAAAATGTAAACAGACGGTGTTCAGTGTTGCTATATGACTTTGGAGAAAATTTCTTCTAAAATAAAGTTCTAGATTTCTCATTCACCAAATTTCCATATCAAGAAAAATCATATATTATTGAAAGATAATTAAAGGCATACTGTACTGAGATAATTTGACGACTTCTGTTGAGAAACTAGAGCTACCTGGTGATTGGATTTTCCAGCAGGATAACGATCCTAAGCATACTGCAAGATCCACAAAGAAATGGTTTGCTGATAGAAATGTACACGTTATGGAATGGCCAAGCCAGTTGCCGGACTTGAATCCGATTGAAAATTTGTGGCGGTATTTGAAGATCAAATTAAGAAAAGGTCCCCCAACAAACATTGAGAATCTTAAGGTGGTGTGCCAAGAAGAATGGTATAAAATACCAGTCAGCATCTGCAAATCATTGGTTGAGACGTATAGAAATAGACTGGTATCTGTTGAGCTGAATAAAGGGTATTCAACCAAGTATTAAATTAAAATAATGCGGATTTATTGTTTTGTACGAATACTTTTTTCACCTGAAAAGTGAACATGTTGCATTGATTTTTGTTGCATTGAGATTTAATTTATTTTGATAGTATTTTTGAATACTATGCGTCTCTATACATAATTTAAATCACTTTTCCTGTTAAGTTTGTGTACTTACATTAAAATACGATTTTTCAAGTGTACAAATATTTATTTCCCCCCACTGTATTGGCGATGCTGCATCCACCCTCTGCGCCCTGAACTGGTGGCAGGTGGTTTCTTTCCAATTTTTCAAAATGGAGTTGACCTTAAAGTATGATGGTTACATAGAAGCATAATCATATATCAAAACTGAAAAAAAAATTTGAACTTGATGCAGCTTCCAGGGTGAAATTCCAGCCATGGTGAATTGGTGATTTGCATTATCACTTGGTTTCAGTATACTCTTTATTTGCTATTATTTTCAATTTCCAATCGACTTTGAAATTTTTATTTGTGTTAATAGGTGATGTCAGTACCAAATCAATAATGGTTTATGTACTCATAGAAGGTGCAAGAAGAAGAGCGAATAAAGCATTATTGTTTAGCAATTGGCATTGTTGTTTCTGGCAGCAACGTCATGCTTACATGGGAGGGGGCTTTGGTGATGGCCAAGGGAGGGTGGCCAGGAATGCTGCCACCTTCATGAGACTGTCCCACAGTGAGGAGATGCTGAGGGTTGTGGGGAAAGAGGGGCAGGTGAAGATGCTGGATGGATTGGAGGTGGAGGGAGTAGCCATCCTTGGGACAGGTGGCACTGGGAGGAGCATCCAACCCTAAAAGTGAAGCAGGCCGGAGAACTACTGTATTCCAAACAGAGTTGAGAAAGCAACAAACAATAATGGTGAGGGTGTTAGGCCCCTCTGAAAAGTTCTGATGCCTATGATAGGTATTGGGGTTGCAAGAACAGCATTGTTCTTGACGATTGCTTCAGTATGGTAGGTGATCTCTTGCGGATGGAGCACTTGGCTTCTCCATAGGCAGAGGGCTAGCATGACACTATTTGTCAGAAAAGATGCAACAAGGTGGCCAAATCATGACATCAAGACATATGGGAGGCTTTTATGGGATGTTGTTGTGTTGTTGTAATTGCTCATCCTGGTAGTTGCAACTAGGGAGGGGGTTATAGGTCAGTTTTTCTGGGCACTTGGTGCCACTGGTAGTTCTATGACCATCGCTGACATGCCAGACCATTTTATTGCATTACACAACAATCTGGACAAGCCAGGTACTCGTTTATCAACCAGAGTTGGATGAATGGCTGAGTTGGCCATGAGCTGAGCTTCCTGGAAGAACTTGTCCTTGGTGGGACTCAAACCCGGGAGCTGGGTGCGAGAGACAGAGTCTCTCACCACTGCACCACCACAGCTTTTTTGGGATAGTCCCTGCTATTATGGAATAGTCCCTAAGGGGAGCAGACACAATGTGAAATGAAGTATGGGTTGGCTGAGGGATGCTGGCAAGGAACTGAGTGCCAGCCAGGTCCAGGTGAGCAGGCGGGGGTAGGATGCCAGTCTCATTCTGGAGGCGGGCAATTGGGGTCATTTTGAGTCAGCCAGTGGGTAATCTCAAAGCTGTGTTTTGGATGGTTTGGAGGCTTGCTATTGCAGTGTGTGAGGCAACAAGGTTCCTGGTGGTAGCAGCATAGTTGTGGATTGGCTGTGTGATTGTCCAGCAGGTGTCATTTACGGTGTGGAATTCTAGAGAGGTATTAAATTAACCAGAACATATAGTATATTGGAAAGGCCATCATACAACCTATCACTTCCTGGTTAGGATGACATCCCAATCTCACAACCAATCAAAGTCTGGAGAGGATGACGTGTCAATCACAGCTAGAAAGGGACATGTATCTACCCAAAAATGACAGAAACTTTATGCACTGCCCTAGAATTCCAGCTTGGATGGCAATGATGTCCTCCTTGGGGAAACCATAGTTGGTGCCAGCAATTGGCATCATCTATCATGGCGTTATTGTTTATTCATGATGTCTAGCAACTCGGAGATATTGGTCTCTCAATGTTACCTGTACCTAGCTTCCAAATTAACTTTCTATAATTAAAATCTGCAATAATAGTACCATCAAACGGGGTAATAAGGGATGGTTTTGAGTGTTTTTTGTTAATACTGTCTTATCATTATACATTTCATAAACAAGTGTGAGCTCATTTTATAGCTCTGTGAGGGCTATCGTATGGCACTTTTGAAAAATTCCATGTGCTATTTGTAAGGTGCCAGATGCAAAATAAAAGCGTACCAAATTACACCTGGGAACAAGGTAATCCAGGACACTTGAAATAAAACTTGATTTTAAAATGTTTGAAGCATGCAGAGTGTGCTTACTATCTATTACTAACAGTAATCTGAAGTCCTCCTTTTCCTTTGTAGATGATGTAGATATAGAATAAATGGCAGTTTCTGTGATTTTTACTGGTTTTTCATTTATTGATATGATATTGCCATATCCATACATTCCCGTCAAACGAGGTAATAAGGGACGGTTTAACATTTGAAGCATGTAAAGTGTACTTGTTGTGTATCCATTAATAACAGTGCTATGAAATCCTCCTCTTCCTTTGTATATGATGTAGATAGAGAACAAATGACATTTCTGTGATTTTTACTTGTTTTTCCTTTATTGATGTGATATTGCCATATCCATACATTATCCTATTATTGATGTGATATTACTGTATCAATGGACATGCCACATTTGTAAGCTTATAGGATGGCTTGTAATTTCACATTATTTTAATTGGGTCCAGTGAATTCACTTGAACAAGAAAATTGTCAAAACATACCTGAAACAGAAAGGAATATTTTGATGACAACCTTCATATTTTTTGGAGAAATAAATCATAGTTTAGGTTAATTAGTTTTCATTCTATGTTGCCCAATGCTGCGATGCACAATTCTATCTTTGACATTCTATGCACAATTTTGTGATGGCCGATGATGCATTAATATTTCGTTGAGGCCTGAGGGACATTTTTAGCGCATTTTTTCATTTGTGGAAAAAATTCACTATTGTGCTCACCATGTCCGTCCGTCTGTCCGTCCATCCGTGACCTCAAGTTTTTGTTGGTGAGAAAATGCACTCTCTGTCACTCACTGCAGTGAGTACTGAGTTACATTTTTTTCTCTAAGCGAGGTAAATGTAATCAAAATTTTTTGTTGTAGATTGATTTGTTGTTTGACTGGAGCCTTTGCTTACTGAGGTTCTACTGTAAATGCGTTTTTAGGGGTGTCCCTTATTAACTCATGGGGGTGTCTTATTACCCCATCCTGCGGAAATAGCCACCATTTTTATTTTTGAATGAGTTAGGCAAATTCAGTCAATCGTGTATATGAGCCAACTCCCGTGTGCAACTTCTATGCAAGTAAAATTTTTAATATGGCGAATATTTTTTTTCTACAGACCTTAGTAGAGGTACATTTCCCAAATCGCACTCATCACACTTTTTTCAGGGAATTTTTAAAAGTAGTAAATGTATGATTTCCTAATTTTCTTTATGCTACATATAGTAAATGTTAAACTTTACACCACTATTTTTTGCTTTACAATATTTTGATTAGTTTAGCTGCTACAAGTTTCTACAAAACGTGGGACGACTGTCCCTAATCACCCTGCCTGTCCTTTATTACCCTGTTTGACAGTACATGTTTCAGCAAGAAAATTCTGCCATATACCACTAATATTAATACGTGTAAATATATGTACATATGATTATGTGTATATATGATTACTTACCTGCAATGTGAGTTTGCCAAAACTTGTGATTTTGCGTCAAAGCCACGATCGCTACCTACTTATTTGAGTGGAATTAGTTTGCTTTGCTGCTCTTTTATGATGGCAAAACTGATGCCAATGCAACTTGAACTTATCCCCAAAAGAAAGATTAATCAAAACCTGAATCATTATCATCAATGATCAAAATTTTATTATGTAATTCATACTGTTAGTGAATTTAAGCAAATGCTGGCTAACTATATAACCAAATTCAGTTTGACTCTATCATGAAATGATTGAAACCTATCTTAATCTGTGCACCTTAATTCCTTGAGTCACTTAAGCATAACTTCAGATCTTGAAATCACTATGTTAATATATTTGTATGCGGCAGTTGCAGGCACAGATGACCTCAGTTGTCCAGAGGAGCTTGAAGGATCAAGTCAGAAGAAGGAGGATGGCTCTGGAGACGGGGACAGCACAAGTTCCTCCTCGTCTAGCCCTGAAGTTGACCAGCATCTACACCAGGAGAAGAAAAAAGCTGCTGGTACATTGATAACTTACTTGTCCTCTTTTTATTGTGCTATTCACTTAAATTAGTTCACTTGTTAATCTTGGAATAAAGTTTGCAACTTACTTGTCTTCTTTTTATTGTGTTATTCAATTAAATTATTTTGCTTGTTAATATTGGAAGAAAGTTTGCAGTATTTTAAGTGCCTCGTTGAAATGGGAGCTGAACAACAACTGTTGGGAAATTGATGCTTGTCTCCCATTACAGTTGTATTGAATAAATGTTTTAACTTGTTAATCTTAGAAGAAAGCTTGTTCTCCAGTAGGATTGATTTTCATGATATAAAAACTTTTTTGAGACTTGGTTATTGCCTTATTAATCTCATGGTTCAGGCTAATATGTATCACCAAAATGGCATTAGTTTGTTTTAATCCTGCTTCATCAAGCCCTGGTTAAAATAATGAGCATCAAGTATATTCAATTTGAGAAAATATTGCAATTTGAAGCTTGTTTAAAACAAATTTACAACAATGAAAAAATTCTAAATTGTGCCTACCTTGCAATGCTGTGTTGAAGTGTGGGATTATTAACTACATGAATTTCCCCCTCACAGGTGACACTCCTACTTCTGATGAGCCAAATGCGGACAACACCAACAAAGGTGATTATTTAAACATCATTAAAGTTTAATAGAATTGTACATCTTTCAGGTTTCACTATATTATACATTCCTAAAATTTCAGTTTTTTTCTATTCGTTGTCAGATAGGCTTTGACAGGATTTACTGGATTGATTAAGTTTGTCGAAGAATATATAGACTTATTATAATTGGATGTCATTTTATGTTTACTATTACATATATTGGGATCTAATGTACTATATATTTATGCAACAGTTCCTCCGGAGCCGGAACCTCAGGCAAAACAAAGCGTCCGAGAAGCTAAAGCAGCCAGAACTGATAAACCCTTGGCTGATAAGTCCACTGATGCAAGGGCTGGCAGGAAGAATACTAAGGCTACAGGACGCAGAGCTTATCACAAGGTAGGGTCAATGTGCAGGATTTTCTTTGCTTTGTTCTGAATTATTCTTATTTCTACTCATTTTAATGGGAGTTTTAAAAAAATATTTTATGACATCACTATGCTTAGTTATATAATTAATTGTACTCGTGTAGCATTACCTTGATCATGCTTCTCTGATCTTGTGAAGTACGGTAATTCAGTTAGTTGACCACGTTTCAGCAATGGTGCGTTAAGTCCTAAAGAACTGCGAATCTTTGTTGGCTGCTGTACTTTTATGCTTTTTCTTAAGGTTCAGTCAATATATACACTGCATTATGCATTAATCCGTGACAAGTACGCGGTGTGTGACGAGTATCCTAAGGACCTGCTGCCCTCCACATCCTCCCCTCATCCTGACCATAAGAAGTGGATAGACGACCTACTGCGCCCCAGCGGCGGGGCCACCAGGGCCTCCACGCCTTCTCCTAATGATGGTATGTGGGCCCTGGGCATGTGTGGCCCAACTGGGGGCCTCCATGACCTCCCCGAATGATAGTATGTGTGGTCCAACTGGGGCCTCCACGACCTCCCCTAATGACGGTATGTGGGCCCTGGGCATGTGTGGCCTAACTGGGGCCTCCACGCCCTCCCCTAATAATGGTATGTGGGCCCTGGGCATGTGTGGCCCAACTGGGGCCTCCACGCCCTCCCCTAATAATGGTATGTGGGCCCTGGGCATGTGTGGCCCAACCGGGGCCTCCACGCCCTCCCCTAATGATGGTATATGGGCCCTGGGCATGTATGGCCCAACCTGCACCTTCATGCCCTGCAGCAATGGTGGTAGGTATGTGGGCCCTGGCAGAGGTGGCCCGAAGCTCGAGCTGGAAATATAAGTACAAAATTATGTAAGCAAAATGCTTTGACAAGTCCAGTCATTTGGTAAGTTGAATGAAGGCTTTCAATGTATCGCTTGATAAACAACTCAATTGAAGATAAGATATGGCATCTTAAATTATCGTCACACTGTAACAAAATTAAGACCACGTGTAAGCATTTGTCCTGAAAGCTTCAGATGAAGCAAGTATGTGCTGGTATTAATAATCACACTTGCCTGAAGCTGCTCCATTTCAGGAGAAGAGTCGCACTAGCTAAATACTGTTGTACATTTATTGTAAAATAAATTTGATATAAAGCTTTTCAAAGAGCTATCAGGGTGACCATTTTGATAAAAATAGTTCAAGCTGCTTACAACTATCCACATGTTGTAGCTCTATATGTTCTTCAAGCCTTATAATATCTTAATGATATGGTAGTCATAGATATCTTGTTCCAGCAGGTGAGAAGGCCCGCAGCAGCGAGCCTGACGCCCCCCCAGCGCCCCCCAAGAGCGCAGGGAGTCGCGACGCCCGCGAGCGCCTCAAGCAGGAGGAGCAGGACGGCATCATCCTGAGCCCCCAGCGCCGCAGCTTTGGCACGGGTGTGTGAGTGTGTGGGGGGGCTTAGTACTTAGAAGATATAAGGAAGTGTTATGTCTAGTGCGTCGCAGGAACTTATATAAGTAGAGTTATGTCTAGTGCGTTGCAGGAACTTATTCAAGTAGAGTTATGTCTGGTGCGTTGCAGGAACTTATATAAGTAGTTATGTCTAGTGCGTTGCAGGAACTTATTCAAGCAGAGTTACGTCTAGTGCATTGCAGGAACTTATATAAGTAGAGTTATGTCTAGCGTGTTGCAGGAACTTATATAAGTAGAGTTATGTCTAGTGCGTTGCAGGAACTTATATAAGTAGAGTTATGTCTAGCGTGTTGCAGGAACTTGTACAAGTAGAGTTGTCTAGTGCGTTGCAGGAACTTATATAAGTAGAGTTATGTCTAGTGCATTGCAGGAACTTATATAAGCAGAGTTATGTCTAGTGCATTGCGGGAACTTGAGTAACTTCCCTCAGTATTGTGTTGGGTTTTCATGCTCCAAATTAGGGCACTGGTGTGTTGCAGGAACTGTGGTTTTCTCCATGCTTTTGATTTCACTGCATCGCAGTATTTCGACATCCATGCTGTACTAAATCATTTCAAGCTCTTGTATTCAAGTTTTTTTTTAATCAATAATTGTTGTTGGTATATATATCTTATCATTAATTGTAATCATCTTATCGTAATCATTATAATTGTTCGTCTATAAATTATTAAATTATCCTCATTATAATCACAAGTCTATTACTGGGCACCTCAAGTCTCCTGACGATGCGTGCAGGTTGCCAGCTGAGCGGTGGGGGGGCGGGGGTGGGTCGCCCCGCGTCTCCCGCAGACCCCCGAGGGCGCGACGCCCCTGCACTCACCAGTGTCCACCACCGTCAGGAGCTGCCGCTGCATCGCCGCATTGGCTCAGGTTATTATTTCAGTTACAAGCCTTCAGGTAATTATTTTAGTTTCTTATAAGTATCAGATTAATTAACGGGTATTTTTCTGGCATTACTTTATTACTTTCCCGTCTATTGTTGTCTCCTCTGATGCACGTCATCGTTAGAGCCATCATTACAGTCAAGATTATCATCATTACAGTCAAGATTATCATCATTAGAGCCATCATTACAGTCAAGATTATAATCATTAGAGCCATCATTACAGTCAAGATTATCATCAATAGAGCCATCATTATAGTCAAGATAATCATCAAGTAAAACTTGTAAGGCTAGAAGGATTACTGGGTCCTATTTTCTTACTGCATCCACTTGCTGTGTTCTGATTCATAATGCATATGATGAAATGAATAACATACATTCTCACAGTCAGAAATGAACGAGACTCTGTCCAAATATCTATACACGTCTTGCCCGTGTGTTGGCTATCCTGCCTTAGTTTGGCCTGTCAAGTGGATGTATCAATGCTACATTCAGCAAGTGTTAATACCTGTACAATAAAATTCATTTATTTTTTAGCGCGTTTTCTCATTTATGGAAAAAATGCACTATTGTGCTCGCCATGTCCGTCTGCCTCTCTGTCTGTCCGTCCGTCCGTCCGTGACCTCAAGTTTTCGTTGACGAGAAAATGCGCTCTCTGTCACTCACTGCAGTGAGTACTGAGTTATATTTTTTTTTGTTTGGCTGCACTGAGTCAGGCTTGGTGAACAAAATAGTTATTTGCAGGCCTAATAATGCGGCCTGACCTAGTTTGGCCTGCCAAAAGGACGTACCTTTCAAAGCTACATTCAGCAAGTCTTAATACCTGTACAATAAATTCATTAATTTTTTTGTGTTTGGCTGCACTGAGTCAGGCTTTGTGAACAAAATATTTATTTGCAGGGCGAATAATGCGGAGGGATGAGGCAGAACCTCAGGCGTTGCTGGAGGCCCCTGTGTCTGGCCGGCGCGGTGTTGCTGCTGCTGGAGACCTTGACCTGCCTGAGCCTCCCAGGGGGCGTGACCCACGCGACTGGCGTAACAAGGAGCCCCAGCTCACCCATCACCACCTCCGCTACGACAGAGAAGAAAGGTCTGTTCTACGCTCAGAAATATGAGTGACACAGTGTCCAAATAGGGATGAACTTTTGCCATAGTGTTGTAAGTAAGTCATCATGACATAGTTTGGTCCGTTAAAAGATGTATGTATTAGTGCTACGTTCAGAAAGTTTGTTACCATGTGGACAGTATCACCTCTTAATTTCAGTGCTTGGTTGAAGAATGGAGGAATAGGTTATAAACACTTGCTTATGTACTGCACCAATGCATGTATTGGACCCTTAATTCTGTGCCTAGATTTGTATTTTGTTGTAAGCTGATATTTTGAAGTGATCAAGGAACCAGGATCAGTTGAACTTGAATATATGGACCTTCCATGTCTATAATATTTGGACCTCCATGCCTATCATATATGGACCTCCATGCCTATAATATATGGACCTCCATGCCTATAATATATGGACCTCCATGCCTATAATATATGGACCTCCAGGCCTATAATATATGGACCTCCACGCCTATAATATTTGGACCTCCATGCCCATATATGGACCTCCATGCCTATAATAGCCTCCCAGGGGGCGCGACCCACGTGACTGGCGTAACAAGGAGCCCCAGCTCACCCATCACCACCTCCGCTACGACAGAGAAGAAAGGTCTGTTCCTCACTCAGAAATATGAGTGACTGTGTCCAAATAGTGATGCACTTTTGCCATAGTGCTGTACGTCATCCTGACATAGTTTGGCCCCGCTAAAAGGTGTAGTATATATTAGCACTACTTGCAAAATGTCATTTGGACAGTATTACTCCTTAATTTAAGTGCGAGGTTGAATTATGGAGAGGTAATAAACACGTGCAGATGTACTGGACCAACGCATGTATTGGACTCTTAATTCTGTGCCTTGATTTGTATTTTACTTTAAGCTGATATTTTGAAGTGATCAAAGAACCATGATCAATTGAACTTGAATATATGGACCTCCATGCCTATAATTTCAGCCTGCGGTCAGCTCTAAAGTTCTGTGGTCTTAACACCAACTTTGAACGTCCCAATTATTCAAATATCATTACTCAATTACCGGCTGTTATCAATGCAAGTTGTTGTTTCAGGTTCGATTCTCGCCGGCGCGGTTTTTTCGAGGCGTCGGAGACAGAGAAGACGTTGGACCTAACACCTCCCCAGCAGCCACACCGCCAGGGGCCTCAGCAGCAACGCAGCTACTCCCGCAACACCCAGGACAACCAGCGCAACCCCAGAGGGCGGGTGGTGTACAATAACTCAAGCTACACGAGCAGTGGTAGCAGTGGTAGCAACTACCACAACTACAACAGACGCCAAGAAGAAGAGGAAACACCTGAGTGGTTCAGTGAAGGACCAACCAGGTTAATAACTCCTATATAACTACTTATATCAGTAGTGTGTCTAGTTCAGTGAAGGACCAACCAGGTTAATAACTCCTATATAACTACTTATATCACTAGTCTGCCTAGTTTACCACTTCACCATGAATTAAAGCAAAGAAAACATTGAATGGAAGTCGCCTTGCCTACAATGAAAACATTCCAGAGGTCAACTTGCCATAGCTCCGATGATGTTTTACTCAATTTTGTTGTAACTTTGATGTCTAATTCAGATGTTTCAGTCAATTTTGCCGTAGCTTTGAATTAAAATTCAGACATTTTAGTCACTTTTGTCATTACTTTGAAGTCAAATTCAGACATTGCCAGCACTTGAGTCTTATTTACGTTGCCGTCACTTAAGACGTATTTACGAGCTGGTGGGCTTTACTTAAGGCTTATATACGTTGCAGTCAGAACGAGTACATTGAGCTGGTGGGCTTTACATGACTTATTTACGTTGCAGTCACTCAAGACTTACTATTTACGTTGCAGTCACTCAAGACTTATTTACGTTGTAGTCACTCAAGACTTACTATTTACGTTGCAGTCACTCAAGACTTATTTACGTTGCAGTCACGCAAGACTTATTTACGTTGCAGTCACGCAAGACTTATTTCCGTTGCAGTCACTCAAGACTTATTTACGTTGCAGTCACTCAAGACTTATTTACGTTGCAGTCACTTAAGACTTATTTACATTGCAGTCAGAACGAGTACATTGAGCTGGTGGGCTTTACTTAAGACTTATTTACATTGCAGTCAGAACGAGTACATTGAGCTGGTGGGCTTCGATGGTCCCGTCACAGACGACAGCAAATGTGAGGCCCTCAGGAGCAGGCGAGAGTCGCCCCCCGCCGACCCCCGGCCTCCCAGCAGCAAAGGCGAGTCGTCTGCACGCTCACAGAAATAGGCTGGACATTGTCCAAATAGCGATGCACTTACTGCCCTTGTGCGGGTCATCCTATTTTAGTTTGCCACCGCAAAAGTGCTACATGTAGGAAATGTATTGTTGTTTGAACCACATGGCACATTCATTCTTCTGAGTGTACGCTTTTAACTTGAACCTTGTCCATTGCCTGACCATTGGTTATGCATGTACGGTGATATATATGCTACCAATTAATGTAACAATAATATCTATGATAACAGTTAATAATATAATAATAATCTCTATGCTACCAGTTACTGTAACAATAATATCTATGTCATGTTGGGCCTAAATAATCAGTCACATCAGTCTATATGTTTCTCGTCACCTCACCAATTCCTATTTACTGTTCTGCTCAGTTTCTGCCCTCTGTAAGGCAAAATTTGTAACACTTTGTAAATTCGTAAAGCATGTAACCCTTCGTAAATTTGTAAACAACCTAACCCTTCGTAAATTCATAAATGACTAATCATTTTCATTTAGTATTAGCATTACTCAGTAAAATTTTTTCCAGTCCTTTGCTAATTACAGAGAATATTAATAATTTATCGTGATGCATATCATGTTTTTCTTGATCAGCAACTATTCCGACCCAACTTTTGTCTGAGGCTCTGTTTATTGCTATTTATCACTGGTCAATATCAATGACTATTATATAAACAGACTTATTGTGCGTCGCATCTAGCTATTTATTATTATTTTCATTGCATTTATCGTCATTATTATTGTTGCTTTCGTCATTAATATCATTGCTATTATCGTCATTATTATTGTTACTATCGTCATTATTGTCACTATTATTACCGTCATTATTATCATTGTTATTATCGTCATTATTATAATTGTTATTACCGTCATTATTATCACTGTTATTATCATTGTTATTACCGTCATTATAATCACTGTTATTATCATGATTATTATCACTGTTATTACCCTGATTATTATCATTGTTATTGAAGAGCTCCGCGCCCACAGGTGCGTCTAAAAGCAGCAGCCCCGTGGAGCTGGGGGGGCAGGACTCCCCCACCCCCTCCTGACTCGGCCCCCCAGCAGCAAAGGCGAGTCGTCTGCACGCCTCACAGAAATAGGCAGGACATTGTCTAAATAGCGATGCACTTACTACCCTTGTGTGGGTCATCCTGACTTAGTTTAGCACGGCAAAAAGTGCTACATGTAGGAAGTGTATTGTTGTTTGGACAACATGGCCCATTCATTCTTCTGAGTGTACGCTTTTAACTTGAACCATGTCCATTGCCTGACAATTGGTTATGCATGTACGGTAATATGTATGCTACCAGTTAATGTAATAATGATATCTATGCTATGTTAGGCCTAAAGAATCAGTCTACATGTCACTCGTCACCTTATAAACTCCTATTTACTGTTCTGCTCAGTTTCTGCCCTCCGTAAGGCAAAATTTGTAACACTTTGTAAATTCGTTAATGACTAATCATTTAGTATTAGCATTACTCGTTGAGTAAAATTTTTTTCAGTCCTCTGTTAATTACAGAGAATATTAATTATTTATCACTATTAATTAATTAATTATAATTTTAATTATAATTAGTTTAATAATTTAAAATATTAATTTTATATCACTAGCTATTCACTGGTCGATAATGACTATTATATATACAGACTTATTGTACGTCGCATCTAGCTATTTATCATTATTTTCATTGCATTTATCGTCATTATTATTGTTGGTATTTATCATTTTCATTGTTATTATCGTCATTATCGTTACGATCGTCATTATTATCACTGTTATTATCGTCATTATTATCATTACTATTATCGTCATTATTATTGTTACGATCGTCATTATTATCACTGCTATTATCGTCATTATTATCATTACTATTATCGTCATTATTATTGTTACGATCGTCATAATTATCACTGTTATTATAGTGATTNAAGTTTAATAGAATTGTACATCTTTCAGGTTTCACTATATTATACATTCCTAAAATTTCAGTTTTTTTCTATTCGTTGTCAGATAGGCTTTGACAGGATTTACTGGATTGATTAAGTTTGTCGAAGAATATATAGACTTATTATAATTGGATGTCATTTTATGTTTACTATTACATTTATTGTGATCTAATGTACTATATATTTATGCAACAGTCCCTCCAGAGCCGGAACCTCAGGCAAAACAGAGCATCCGAGAAGCTAAAGCAGCCAGAACTGATAAACCCTTGGCTGATAAGTCCACTGATGCAAGGGCTGGCAGGAAGAATACTAAGGCTACAGGACGCAGAGCTTATCACAAGGTAGGGTCAATGTGCAGGATTTTCTTTGCTTTGTTCTGAATTATTCTTATTTCTACTCATTTTAATGGGAGTTTTAAAAAAATATTTTATGACATCACTATGCTTAGTTATATAATTAATTGTACTCGTGTAGCATTACCTTGATCATGCTTCTCTGATCTTGTGAAGTACGGTAATTCAGTTAGTTGACCACGTTTCAGCAATGGTGCGTTAAGTCCTAAAGAACTGCGAATCTTTGTTGGCTGCTGTACTTTTATGCTTTTTCTTAAGGTTCAGTCAATATATACACTGCATTATGCATTCATGCAGCTCTTATTACTATCATTTTTTGTAACCTCATTTGTGGGAAAAGAAAATACTCAAGACATGTTTCCTCCTCCAGAGCGTACTGTTGGAAATCCGTGACAAGTACGCCGTGTGTGACGAGTATCCTAAGGACCTGCTGCCCTCCACATCCTCCCCTCATCCTGACCATAAGAAGTGGATAGACGATTTGCTGCGCCCCAGCGGCGGGGCCACCAGGGCCTCCACGCCTTCTCCTAATGATGGTATGTGGGCCCTGGGCATGTATGGCCCAACTGGGGCCTCCACGCCCTCCCCGAATGATAGTATGTGTGGTCCAACTGGGGCGTCCACGACCTCCCCTAATGACGGTATGTGGGCCCTGTGCATGTGTGGCCCAACTGGAGCCTCCACGACCTCCCCTAATGACGGTATGTGGGCCCTGGGCATGTGTGGCCCAACTGGGGCCTCCAGACCCTCTCCCAATGACGGTATGTGGGCCCTGGGTATGTATGGCCCAACCTACACCTTCATGCCCTGCAGCAATGGTGGTTGGTATGTGGGAACTGGCAGAGGTGGCCCGAAGCTCGAGCTGGAAATATAAGTAAAAAATTATGTAAATGACGGGACTGCCGCTCCGCCACCCGCCATCTGTACATGACCTGCGTAAGTAGCCTCCTTAGGGTCTGTGTAGCCTCCTTAGGGTCTATGTTGACTCCTTAGGGTCAGTGTAGCCTCTTTAGGGTCTGTGTAGCCTCCTTAGGTTCTGTGTAGCCTCCTTAGGGTCTGTGTAGCCTCCTTAGGGTCTGTGTAGCTTCCTTAGGGTCTCTGTAGCCTCCTTAGGGTCTCTGTAGCCTCCTTAGGGTCTGTGTAGCCTCCTTAGGGTCTGTGTAGCCTCCTTAGGGTCTGTGTAGCCTCCTTAGGGTCTGTAGCCTCCTTAGGGT